CGCTGGCAGGGGTGGAGGCCGCCCGGAGGCCGCTGGCAGGGGTGGAGGCCGCCCGGGGGCCGCTGGCAGGGGTGGAGGCCGCCCGGAGGCCGCTGGCAGGGGTGGAGGCCGCCCGCTGAAGCCCCGCGAGCCCCGCTCCTCCAGCTGATGAATGGCCGACTGTTCGACGTACGGCGCCCGTCCCAACGAGGGCCTAATGGCGATCGCTGTCGACATGCAGGACAGTCTGCTTCGGCTCGGCACCCCTCCCACATCCTCGCGCACCGCCACGACGCCCCCGACTCCAACTTTTGCCCGTTTGCTGCGTTTTTCTTTTTTTTTTCGGCTCACGCGGTAACAAATCACCGGTCAGCCAGTAAATTGGATTACACGTTGTACACAGAGGTTACACAAAGTAGTGCGCAACCGCTGCATGTGGTGCGGGGGTGGTGCGTTTGGAAGGTCACAATCACAATACGGTTATGCGGCCGACCTGCTTGTCCAAGTCCAAGCCGCTGCCGTCGCAGTGCGACTGCAGTCCATGGGCACAAGCAGCACGAAGGCTGACGACAAAGCCAGCCATCGTGTGGCGTGGAGGAGCCGGCAGCCGCCGTGTTCGAGTCCATCGCCATTTATCCAGCGGCGACGAGCGGGTGACGACGGGGTTAACGAGCCGCCTTCGGGGGGTTCAAAACGCAATAACCTAAGTGATGCTCGAACGGAACGAACCGTGAAGTAAGAGGGAAGGGGGTGCGCGAGGGCGGGAGGAAGTGAGCGTGCGGGGGAGGACGAGTAGTGAGACGGGTGGGAGGTTGGAGAGAGAAAGACAGAGAGTGGAGCACGAGGAAGGAGAGAGGGAGCAGGAAGCAGAGAGAGAGAGAGAGAGAGCCAAGGCAGTGGGGCGTGGCTACGCGGCGACGCTAAAGATAATTTGCAGTATCACTTTGTCCCGCCCAGTCCGGGCCGCCTTTTGTTACCCCCACCACGGCGCCGGCCCTTGTCGGCCCCGCCCCCCGGGCGGCGCAGCGCGGGCTCCCCACCACCGCGACGCCGCCGCCGCCGCCCCCACTCCGCGAGCCGCGTGCCATCTCGCCGACATTTACACCAATTTCGACACCGATTTCAACTGAGATGGATTCCGAGTGTAATGTATACAGAGCGTAAATACACACTTATCCGAGCGGCGCGCGCGCGTCGCGTCGAGCGAGGAGGAGCAGGTCGGCGGCACTGAGCGTAGCGCAGCGGAGGCGAGCACAGCGGAGAGGAGCGGAGCGGCACCGCGACCACACCGGCCAGCCGTAGGCCAGCGCGGCACGCGCACGCAGCCAGCGCGACGGACGCGACAGGACGACCCCGCCGGCAGCCGCGGCCCGCGACGAGGCGAGGCGACACGAGCACCGGGACGGCCGAGCCGCGCAGCTTCGCGCCCGCGCCCGGCCGCGACCAGCCGCGGGACACTCGGCGACCAGCCGCGGCGCCGCGCGCACCGACCGAGTGAGGACGAGTGGTGTCAGTGATCAGTGACGTGCGACAAGTGGACTCTGTGTTAGTGTTGTGCCCTGCCCCGCCTCCCCGCATGCAGTGACCGCGGAGCATGTCCGCCAAGACGGTGGCCGCGCAAGTGGCCGTGTCCATGCGCGAGATGCGACCCTCGTCACCTTCGACGCTGTCCCCCGAGGCCGTCAACGGCATGTCGACGGCATCCCCCGCCACGTCGCCGTCCGCGCTCAGCAGCGGGTCATCCCCGCCGTCCAAGAGGTCGTTCTGCATCGAGGCCCTGCTGGCCACCAACGAGGCCGTCGCGGGTGCAACCCGACCCGGGCGACTCGACGGCGACGACGAAGCCTCGGACCTGCGGCAGCGCCGGCGCTTCTCGGACACGCTTTACGGCCGTTTCGCCCCCTACCCGCACAACAACAATAACAATAACCACCCCAAGAGCTCGTCGTCGCCGGCCTCGGATCTCTCCCTGCCGCGGCCCACCTCGGTGGAGTCGCCCACGGCCTCACCGCCGGCCTCGCCACCCACGTGCTCGCCCGTGTCGCGCAGCGGCGGCGCACCCTCCGAGCCGAGGTCGCCGAGGTCGGACCGGTCCGAGGACAGCATGAGCCCGCCCATCTCCCCCGGCTCCGAGGACGTGCCGGACGGGTACGCCGGCCGGCGCAGCCCGCACAGCCCCCGCCGGGACAGCCTGTTCGCCAGCCCCAACGGCTTCCTCGCGCTCAACCGCAACCTGGGGCTGCCACCGCTGGCGCGCGGGGTGGGCCCCGGGTCCATGTTCCCCGGCGGCCACCCGCTGGCGGGGCCCCCGGGCCCTGCGGGCCCCGCGCACCCCCTGGCGGGCCACCATGCCTTGTACTACGCGGCCGGCCCCGTAGGCCCCGTGGGCCCCGGACCGGGCCACGGCGCCGGCCCGCAGGGCCACCACCCTGGACTCGCACCCGGCGGCTCGGCCTTCCACCCGGCGGGCAAGGGCCCGCTGCCGCAGCACCAGATGAACCTGCAGCACATGCAGCTGGAGTGGCTGTCCAGGACCGGCATGTTCTACCCGCGACTGCCCGACCTCACCGGTGAGTACAACACCAGCCAGCTGTCTACTCGCCCAGCTCCAGCTCGGCCTGCTTGGCGCGCGGGGCGCATGGTCGCGTCACGTCCCGCGCAGATTACCAACGTCGTAAAACCTTTCGCGACGAAACCAATCGGCTTTTATGGTGCGGCTGGCGCAAACAATTATCTGGTCGTTTCCACCGGGGGCTGATGGCCACCCCGCCCAGCCTCCTCCCCCCTGAGCACGTCGGGGACCCCCACGGGCCCAGCCGCCGCCGTGCGAGGGACGATCGCCCGATGGACATGGAGTGTGGCAATAGCCGCTTGATTTTCCTCATGGCACGCCACTGGCCCGGCCCCGTCCTGGCAGAGGCCTCTTCGATGGTGGAGGCCTTGCCTCCTTTTCTCGAGGTCGCTGAGGGTGGCCAGAGGGGGAGGAGGGAGGAGAGGGTGGAGGAGGCCAGGAGGGGCCGATCTGCCGCCAGCAGTCACAGAGACTCGTAATTGGCTGCTCCTGGGCCCGCAATGCTTCTTCTCTCGTCCCCCTCCCTCCCCTGCTGCCCGGTGGTTTTCTTCCTCCTCCTCC